TTGAAAGCGCAGAACTCGGAGCTGGCGTCCACGGCCAATATGCTCAGGGAACAGGTGGCACAACTTAAACAGAAAGTCATGAACCACGTTAACAGTGGGTGCCAACTCATGCTAACGCAGCAGTTGCAAACGTTTTGAGGCGAGACTGTCGGGGGCTGAGGGGCAACGGAGAAAAAAATTACCGAGAGACAGACTTGAGAACTTGACAAGTTGTGAGAGAGAAAAAAAGAAGTGTCGGAGGACTAAAGCCAAGGGTATCCAAGTTGGACTGGGTTGCGTCCTGACGGCGCCCCCAGTGTGCACGAGTGGGAAGGACTTGGCGCGCCCTCCCTTGGCGTGGAGCCAGGGAACGGGCGCCTGCGGGCTGCCCCGCTTTACGGACGGGCTGTCCCAGCGCAAACAGAGCGTTAGACTTTTCTTTAACATTGACCAAGAACTGCATGGACCTAACATTCGATCTCATTCAGTATTAAAAGGGGGGAGGGGGAGGGGTTACAAACTGCAATAGAGACTGTAGATTGCTTCTGTAGTACTCCTTAAGCATACAAAGGGGGGAGGGGTTAGGGAGGGGAGGCGGGAGGGAGGTTTGTGAGAGCGAGGCTGAGCCTACCGATGAACTCTTTTCTGGCCTGCCTTCCTTAACTGTGTATGTACATATATATATATTTTTTAATTTGATGAAAGCTGATTACTGTCAATAAACAGCTTCATGCCTTTGTAAGTTATTTCATGTTTGTTTGTTTGGGTGTCTTGCCCAGTGTTATTTGTAAATAAGAGATTTGGAGCACTCTGAGTTTACCATTTGTAATAAAGTATATAATTTTTTTATGTTTTGTTTCTGAAAATTCCAGAAAGGATATTTAAGAAAATAAAATATTGAAAAAGTACCCCTCCCCCAACCTCTTTTCTGCATTATCTATAGATTACCTATCTAGGTGGAGTTGAAAGAGTTAAAGAGTGTCCCTTAGAATCACTCTGTGCTTCTTACTATCAAGCAGTAAAAACTGTTCTTCACCGGGCTTGAGAAATAACTGTAGCTGATGTTCTCATCAAGTTATACTCTTCCCTCCTCCACTATCTATACAGAGTTGCTTACAAAGGGTAGTGTGGCCTTTCAGGAGGCTGAGGGAAGGGAGGTTGTGGTGAAGAGGGATAGCCCACTGGAAGTCAAACACTTTAAAGTTTGGATTATATCAAGTGGCATGTGCTGTGACCATTTATAATGTTAGCAGAAATTTAACAATGGATGCTTAAGCTCAAAGCAAGAATAGTGGCAGAATTTTACAAAAGATGTACCCTTCCAATTTGGAATCTTCACTTGACCAATTCCTAGATTTAAAAAGATGGTCTTTGCTTATGAATATAACAGCATTCTTGTCACAATAAAGGTATTCAAATACCAATAACATCTTGAATTCCTTTCCCTTTACTACTTTTTTCTTCCCGAGCTCGATATTGAAACTTTTCTTTTCAGTCGCTGGGGTTAACATTACTGCCACTGAGGTTACTTGGTAGTTAAGCAGAGAATTTAAGGGAGTCAACACAGAAGTTGCAATCTGGGTGAAACAGTTTAATTTCTCTCTCTCTCTCTCTCCCTCTCTCTCTCTCTCTCTCTCTCCCCCCCCCACCCCTCCTTTCACTCTCTCCCTCCCTCCTTCCTTCTCTCTCAAATAAACACCTATGCCTAGACAAATTACCAGTATAGCAGTATAGCAGTTTACCATTTGGGATTCTTCTAATGTTTATCTCTTAATTTGTTTCTAAAATAATTAACTGTATTTAAGTAATTATTATAGAACCAGTCTCAAAAGATGGTAATCTAGATAGTGTGGGAAAGATTTGCAAGAGAAAACATGAACACCAACACCATGATTACAAGTGTAAATCAAACCTTAGCTCTGGGGAAATGGCAAACAAATCCTGTCTATAGCTATAACTTAGGAGATCAACAAGGCAGTACTCAACAAGGGAACAATTTTTGCTCAGTTGCTTTTTCATCCCAAGAGCCAGTGTGATTATCAAGCAGCATAAGCAATTTGATATCCAGGAATATTTAGTTCACAAACCACTAATTGAGGCAGGGCTGTTTGCTCATTAGCAGTGCTCTGGTCCCCAGCATGACTGGGAGTACTAATATCCTGCCTGTGGCTGTAAATCCAATGGCACAAAGAGTTTCTCCTTAGTATATCTGGGAGTGTAAGAGATTGAACAGGCATGTTAGCTGATCAGATCCACTCCGTTGGAATAATACTTCTTTAACAAAGGGTTACTGGGAGCACAGCCGAGTTTGCCAAACAGTGAATTTGCTGATGTCAGCAACCCGGAAGGTGAGTTGATTTTGACCATATGTAGGAATAGTCAGCAGAGGGACAATAAAGCACTTTGGGGTGGGGCTCTGTGGAAGCTAAACAAGAGTCAACTAGAAAAAATAAGCAGACTGGGGAATTAATTACCTGCAAAGGTAGACTAAGCCCAGACAACAGTGCAGTACAGAAAAGCCACACCACTCCCCAGTTTGCGTTAGACTCCAGTGTTAAAAAAAAAAAAAANTATATATATATATGTATGTATGTATATGGTTTATACCAAGTCCTAATCTTGAATTTTCTAAATACAGGAGCTCTGAAAGGAGGCTCTGAAAGGTGTTACAGAGGATCAGGCAAGGCAATATCGTCCGTCCCACCGTCTAAGGCCATTTCCTCTGCAGACAATTAATATGTTACAAGATGGTCTCCCAGAGCACAGAAGTTACAAGGGAATGTAACACAGACCTGAGGTCAATTTCCAGCTGCCTCTGTGACCTGAGCAAGACACTTAACCTCTCTGGGCCTAGTTCCTCACATGTTAAATCTGGTTAATAATAAACATAGTGCTAGATAGTTGTGGGGAGAAACAGCATATTTAAATTGCTCAGGCGAATGCCTGGCTGATAATAGCCATTTAATACATGAAATGTATTTTTATTACTCTCATAAAAATTATTAAGAACACCAGCTCCCTGATTACAAACGAAAATGATTTAGGGTAACAGTATCGAGGAGAATGCTCCCTCCCTGAGGAAAGTAACTGGATCTTGTCATCCCTGTACCCTAATCCCACCCCTATCTCCCACCCCAGCTCAGAGCCTGCCTCACAGTAGACACAGTTTTCCTCCGCTGCATGACGGAATGAGAGGTGAGTTTCTGGAGTAAAGAAAAGTTGTCAAGATTTCCCTGCCACTAGCTACTGTTGGGCTGTTCAATCTTAACCCTCAAAGCCAAAAAGACTTTAAGGCTCTGGCCTCTAAACCCAAAGGCTGAATTCCCCTAAGTTCTGAAGCTGAACAGCCCGAAATTAGAACCTAGGGACATAAACTGCTGCAGGTCCAACTTGAAGCTTCAGTCGCGGGCTGACTTGCGACCCGTTCCTCCCTCACTCTCCCCTCAGTGCTCCTCACAGGAATATTTACAACCTGTTCCTGCCAAGTCACACTCTTACATCCTGGCATTCCATCGAGGCTCTGGGAAACTCGGGGAAGGGGGCTGTTTGGCGACCACTTCCTAGCCCTGAAGGCCATGATCCTACACTAACTCTGCTCAGTGAGGTGGTTTTCACCGCACCCCCGCACCCCTGTCCCCCACCTCCCCCACGGCCTGCCGCAGATAAAGGAACTGAAGCTCACAGAAGTTCGGTGACTTGCTCACTTCACACCGTGGCAGCGTTGGCCACGACAGAACCCACGATTCCCGACTGCGGTCTTCTTCCCACCATATACTTTTGTCCCTAAGGGGTGTGTGTGGGGTGGGGGGAGGATAACAGAACCGCCACAAAAAAGGAACCACTTACATGTGTCTAGCGCTTCCTAGAGGCTACACAGGATATAGGCCCAGCATTCCGGCCCGGAGCCAAGCGATTTTAAATCCTGCTTCACCCGACTCCTCGCTGCGTGACTGTTGGCAAGCGTCCGCAGCTCTCGGACTTGTTTTCCCGGAAGCTAATCAGGGCGGGAGGCGCGAGTGTCTGCGCGTGTGTGTCTGTGTGCGTGTGATGTGCGTGTTCGTGTGTGCGGGGGCAGGGAGTCGACGACCGCCAGGGTTCCCCGAGTTTCGGACTCCCTAAACGTTCGTTCTCAACGGGACTGAGTTGCCCCCTAATTGCACCCCCTATTAAAGGATGCCTCCCCTTCGAGACGAAGTTGTGACCCCGCACCCTTTCTTCCCACCGTCGGGAGGGAGAAGTGGGGGTGCCGCGGGGACTTGGCTGATCACCCAGTTTCGAGCAATGCACATCCCTCGGCTTCTAGGCGCAGCCAGACAGCCAGGAGGACTGTCGCTGGTGAACTTGACCAGGAGACAAACTTCCGAGCGTCCTCAACGTGGAGGGGCTGACTTTCGGAGACCGCCCCTAAACTTAAGCCCACTTTCACTTGTCCCCACGGGGGAGTTAACAGAGCCACCTGAAGGGCGGGGCTCCAGCCCCCCGGAAGTGCGGGGGAGGCAAGGGCCCGGGGTGTCGACCTCCCGGCCCCGGGAGGCGGCGGAGCGCGGGTCGATGGTATCCAGCGCCCCCCACAGTGGGGAAACACTGCCCGTCTCGCACCCTCGGCCCCAGACACCTGGCCGGGCTCCCCAGCCTTCCGAGTCCCCGCGTCTTCTGCATTCCCGCCCCGAGACCCGAACTTGTGCCCGCCTCCATCAGACGATGCAAGCGCCCGCGTCCGCCGGGCTCGCGGCGGCCACCGTCACTAGACACTCAAACCCCAAGACGTCAGCCCACAATGCACCGGGCGGGCCGGGAAAGACGCGCCGGGGAGGAGAGGAGCGGGGCGCGAGCCGCGCGGGAGGGGGAGGGGGAGGAGGAGAAAGAAGGGCCCAACTGTAGGAGGGCAGCAGAGCATTACCTCATCCCGTGAGCCTCCGCGGGTCCGGAGAAGAATCTTCTAGGGTGGGGTCTCCATGGCGACGGGCGGGCCCGCCCCCTTGAGAACGACGCAAGCCAATGGGAAGGCCTTGGGGTGACATCATGGGCTATTTTTAGGGGTTGACTGGTAGCTGATAAGTGTTGAGCTCGGGCTGGATAAGGGCTCAGAGTGGCACTGAGTGTGGCTGTATCAGCGAGGCGGGAGTGGAGGTGCGCGGACTCAGCGAGACAGTCAGGACAGCAGTCGAGTCCGAACTGCAGATCTGATTTTCTTTTCCATTTTCTCACCAACTGCCCAGAGCTAGCGCCTGTGATTCCCGGGCTGGTGTCTTGGGGGGAGCGTCCGAAGAGCCCCTTCTCCAGCCGACCCCAAGAGGAGAGCCCCACAGCCCGGGCGCCGCTGACAGCGCGGAGAGCGGCGACTGTCCCCGAGGGGAAGTCTGGCGAGCCGCTGCAACGGCAAAGAACTTTCCTGGCCAGGAGGACAAGGGACAAGTAGCCTCTGAGTCCCGGAGCGAACTTTTGCAAAGCTTCCCTCCGCCCCAGGCTGCCGCGGCGGCGGAGAGAGGAGGGACGTGCGCTCGCACCGGTGGCTGAACTTGGGCGAGCGCGAGCCTCGGCCGCCGGGCGCCCCCTCCCCCTCGCAGCGGAGGAGGGGACAGTGGTAGGAGTCCGGGCGGCGGAGACCCGCCGCCGACCGGCCCCTGCGGAGTCCGCGCTGAGTGCCGCCGCCGGGAGAGCCTCTTGTCGCCGGGAAGCGAGTTAGTCCGCGGGCTCCGAGGAGCCGCTGCGCAGAGGAGCGCTCAGTGAGTGACCGCGACTTTTTAAAGCCGGCAGCGCGCGAGAGCCGACAAGTAAGAGTGCGGGCGGCGGCTTAACCCTGCGTTCCCTGGAGCGCGCTGGTGAAGAGGGCGCAAGGGGGAGGACAGCCAGTGGGTGCGCGCGCTGTTAGCTCAACTTTGCTTGCCAGAGGCCCGGGGAGGCGCGGGTGTCCCCCGCTTGCCAGCGAGCTGTTGCGGCCCCGAAACTTCTGCGCGCCGCCCAAACTCACCCCACGTGAAGTGACGGACTGTTCTATGACTGCAAAGATGGAAACGACCTTCTATGACGATGCCCTCAACGCCTCGTTCCTCCAGTCCGAGAGCGGCGCCTACGGCTACAGTAACCCCAAGATCCTCAAACAGAGCATGACCCTGAACCTGGCCGACCCGGTGGGCAGCCTGAAGCCGCACCTCCGGGCCAAGAACTCGGACCTCCTCACCTCGCCGGACGTGGGGCTGCTCAAACTGGCGTCGCCCGAGCTGGAGCGCCTGATCATCCAGTCCAGCAACGGGCACATCACCACCACGCCGACCCCCACCCAGTTCCTGTGCCCCAAGAACGTGACGGACGAGCAGGAGGGCTTCGCGGAGGGCTTCGTGCGCGCCCTGGCCGAACTGCACAGCCAGAACACACTGCCCAGCGTCACGTCCGCGGCGCAGCCTGTCAGCGGGGCGGGCATGGTGGCTCCCGCGGTGGCTTCCGTGGCGGGCGGCAGCGGCGGCAGCGGCTTCAGCGCCAGCCTGCATAACGAGCCGCCGGTCTACGCCAACCTCAGCAACTTCAACCCGGGCGCGCTGAGTAGCGGCGGCGGGGCGCCCTCCTACGGCGCGGCCGGCCTGGCCTTTCCCGCGCAGCCCCAGCAGCAGCAGCAGCCACCGCAGCCGCCGCACCACCTTCCCCAGCAGATCCCGGTGCAGCACCCGCGGCTGCAGGCCCTGAAGGAGGAGCCCCAGACGGTGCCCGAGATGCCCGGGGAAACGCCTCCCCTGTCACCCATCGATATGGAGTCCCAGGAGCGGATCAAGGCGGAGAGAAAGCGCATGAGGAACCGCATCGCTGCCTCCAAGTGCCGGAAAAGGAAGCTGGAGAGGATCGCCCGGCTGGAGGAAAAAGTGAAAACCTTGAAAGCGCAGAACTCGGAGCTGGCGTCCACGGCCAATATGCTCAGGGAACAGGTGGCACAACTTAAACAGAAAGTCATGAACCACGTTAACAGTGGGTGCCAACTCATGCTAACGCAGCAGTTGCAAACGTTTTGAGGCGAGACTGTCGGGGGCTGAGGGGCAACGGAGAAAAAAATTACCGAGAGACAGACTTGAGAACTTGACAAGTTGTGAGAGAGAAAAAAAGAAGTGTCGGAGGACTAAAGCCAAGGGTATCCAAGTTGGACTGGGTTGCGTCCTGACGGCGCCCCCAGTGTGCACGAGTGGGAAGGACTTGGCGCGCCCTCCCTTGGCGTGGAGCCAGGGAACGGGCGCCTGCGGGCTGCCCCGCTTTACGGACGGGCTGTCCCAGCGCAAACAGAGCGTTAGACTTTTCTTTAACATTGACCAAGAACTGCATGGACCTAACATTCGATCTCATTCAGTATTAAAAGGGGGGAGGGGGAGGGGTTACAAACTGCAATAGAGACTGTAGATTGCTTCTGTAGTACTCCTTAAGCATACAAAGGGGGGAGGGGTTAGGGAGGGGAGGCGGGAGGGAGGTTTGTGAGAGCGAGGCTGAGCCTACCGATGAACTCTTTTCTGGCCTGCCTTCCTTAACTGTGTATGTACATATATATATATTTTTTAATTTGATGAAAGCTGATTACTGTCAATAAACAGCTTCATGCCTTTGTAAGTTATTTCATGTTTGTTTGTTTGGGTGTCTTGCCCAGTGTTATTTGTAAATAAGAGATTTGGAGCACTCTGAGTTTACCATTTGTAATAAAGTATATAATTTTTTTATGTTTTGTTTCTGAAAATTCCAGAAAGGATATTTAAGAAAATAAAATATTGAAAAAGTACCCCTCCCCCAACCTCTTTTCTGCATTATCTATAGATTACCTATCTAGGTGGAGTTGAAAGAGTTAAAGAGTGTCCCTTAGAATCACTCAGTGCTTCTTACTATCAAGCAGTAAAAACTGTTCTTCACCGGGCTTGAGAAATAACTGTAGCTGATGTTCTCATCAAGTTATACTCTTCCCTCCTCCACTATCTATACAGAGTTGCTTACAAAGGGTAGTGTGGCCTTTCAGGAGGCTGAGGGAAGGGAGGTTGTGGTGAAGAGGGATAGCCCACTGGAAGTCAAACACTTTAAAGTTTGGATTATATCAAGTGGCATGTGCTGTGACCATTTATAATGTTAGCAGAAATTTAACAATGGATGCTTAAGCTCAAAGCAAGAATAGTGGCAGAATTTTACAAAAGATGTACCCTTCCAATTTGGAATCTTCACTTGACCAATTCCTAGATTTAAAAAGATGGTCTTTGCTTATGAATATAACAGCATTCTTGTCACAATAAAGGTATTCAAATACCAATAACATCTTGAATTCCTTTCCCTTTACTACTTTTTTCTTCCCGAGCTCGATATTGAAACTTTTCTTTTCAGTCGCTGGGGTTAACATTACTGCCACTGAGGTTACTTGGTAGTTAAGCAGAGAATTTAAGGGAGTCAACACAGAAGTTGCAATCTGGGTGAAACAGTTTAATTTCTCTCTCTCTCTCTCTCCCTCTCTCTCTCTCTCTCTCTCTCCCCCCCCCACCCCTCCTTTCACTCTCTCCCTCCCTCCTTCCTTCTCTCTCAAATAAACACCTATGCCTAGACAAATTACCAGTATAGCAGTATAGCAGTTTACCATTTGGGATTCTTCTAATGTTTATCTCTTAATTTGTTTCTAAAATAATTAACTGTATTTAAGTAATTATTATAGAACCAGTCTCAAAAGATGGTAATCTAGATAGTGTGGGAAAGATTTGCAAGAGAAAACATGAACACCAACACCATGATTACAAGTGTAAATCAAACCTTAGCTCTGGGGAAATGGCAAACAAATCCTGTCTATAGCTATAACTTAGGAGATCAACAAGGCAGTACTCAACAAGGGAACAATTTTTGCTCAGTTGCTTTTTCATCCCAAGAGCCAGTGTGATTATCAAGCAGCATAAGCAATTTGATATCCAGGAATATTTAGTTCACAAACCACTAATTGAGGCAGGGCTGTTTGCTCATTAGCAGTGCTCTGGTCCCCAGCATGACTGGGAGTACTAATATCCTGCCTGTGGCTGTAAATCCAATGGCACAAAGAGTTTCTCCTTAGTATATCTGGGAGTGTAAGAGATTGAACAGGCATGTTAGCTGATCAGATCCACTCCGTTGGAATAATACTTCTTTAACAAAGGGTTACTGGGAGCACAGCCGAGTTTGCCAAACAGTGAATTTGCTGATGTCAGCAACCCGGAAGGTGAGTTGATTTTGACCATATGTAGGAATAGTCAGCAGAGGGACAATAAAGCACTTTGGGGTGGGGCTCTGTGGAAGCTAAACAAGAGTCAACTAGAAAAAATAAGCAGACTGGGGAATTAATTACCTGCAAAGGTAGACTAAGCCCAGACAACAGTGCAGTACAGAAAAGCCACACCACTCCCCAGTTTGCGTTAGACTCCAGTGTTAAAAAAAAAAAAAAAAGCCTGAAACTCAGGCTTATCCCTACTCTTGTTGGTTTCAACTAACATTCTGAATGTATATATCTGAAATTCTAACCATTCCAATAAAAAGTTAGAAAAAAATATTTGTGGTAGAGGAAAATAACCAATGATCTGTAAATTTGGGAGACAGAAAATCAGCTAATTGTAGACACTCAAAGGTTAATGTTATTTTGGCATTTGATGAGTGATTGTTTGGGTAACTAATAGTTGGAGAAAATAAACTTAGTAGCACATAAAGTCCTTAATCCTCTTTTAATTTGTTTTACATATGAGTATTTCAATTAGAGATTCTTAACACTTTGTGTTTGTTGTAGCAGACTCATGAACTCCATGAAGATACGTGCACACGTGAAGACACACACACTCCCATGGGAAGAGACATCATTAGCTTTCATTTGGTTCTCACCAAGTTCTGACAAAAAATGTTAATGCCTAAACTGAATCACTATGCACTCACTATGAAAAACACATCTTTGTGTGAATCTGAATCCCATGCCTTTTAACCTCTCCATGCTTCTGCTTGTGCTCGTTTCTCTTCCTGGCCTACTTTTCCTTCTGGTTCAACTAATGGATCCTACCCATTCTTCAAGGTTTGGCATAAGTGGCACCTTCTCTGTGCAGCCATCCTTGCCAACTCCCATCTTCAGTTGGAATAAATATTCCTCACGGAGCATCCATAACATTTTATCAAAACTTCTATGATTGTACTTACCAAAATATTATCATTGTGAACGTCTGTGTCTCCTGGCCAGACCCCTATCCCACTCATCTGTGGGCTCCAGACTCCTAGTACAGTGCCTGGTACATAGGGGATGTTCATAAAATAAATGCATGATGACTGAATGAACATGGAACTTAAACACTCCTCTAGAATAATTCCAGGTCTTTATTTCTTCCAGTGTAGAAGACCTCATTCGTTTTCAGATGCACAATTCCACATGGATTGATGACCCCCAGAGAAGTCAAACCTGGCCAATCACCAAGTACTAAAGAGCTTAGTTCTCAACGAGTGCTCTTAAAAGAAGAAAACTGTTACCACATGCATTCTTCCAGCCACACAGGGCATCCCCTCACTCATCCACTAATACAAGTGGGCCTCTTCTTATATAACATAGGTCTGCCTGGAACATTAGGCTTGGAGGTGGAGATGGGGAAGGATAATATGTGATCATTAGGCAGGCACAAAAAACAGTTCCAGGTGTGGCTTTATTAAAAGCAACCACTTCATTGGTAACAGCAGGAGGACTTTCTGTCTGTAAAGTTAATGTATTTCAGGGTTCCAGAAGTTAGTCCCCAATATTTGCTTGACAGAGACAAGGATTGTGCTAATGTATCTATTCCCCATGTTCTTTTAACGTTAGAGAAGATGTGCATCAGTTGAACTGAGGAAAATGACAAAGCCGTTTAGTCTGTCCTGCCCCTTGCCTCCACCACCCACTTCTACACAGGTCAAGTGGCATGTATGGAAGAGGGGAAGATGGGCCAGGAGAGCCCCAGAAAGTGAAACTGTCCCTTCCTAACTCTGGAACCTAGCCCCAGTTACTTGGTTTTGGACTTTTGACACCCCAAAGATGGGCATTCCCCTGGGCCTGGGTCTCCTTGAGGTCTTATGCTAAGTGTGAGGATTCAATGATAAGCAAGATAACACTCCCTGTTCTTAAGAAACACACAGCCTGGTGGGGAGGAGTGTAGAGATAAAGCAGAAAGAGGGTCCAGATAAGGGGAGGAGAAGCCATTATCAGGAAAATCTCCATGGGAGAGGTAACATTTGAGCTGATCCAGTGGGACGGACCAGGCGGAAAAGGTCGGAGGAGGAACTTCTGTGCAAAGGCACTGGGGCACAAGAAAACACAATGTGTTTAAGGACTTGCAAGCTGCTGCTTGAAGAGGCTGAGGATTAAGGCATGAAAAGAAAACTGAAGGGAAATGAAACAGGAAAGTTTGAGGGTCAGATTGTGAAGTAACATCTCTTCCATCTTAAAGAGTTTGGTTGTTATCCGTAGGTGATGGAGAAATGTAGAAGGATTTGAAGCACCGCAGAGACACAAACTCTCTCAACATAAGAAAGACTCCTGCTGGCAACAGTTTGGATGATGGCCTGGTGGGGAAGAGGCTAGGCAAGAAGAATAATACCAAAAAGAGGCGTTTAATTTAAAATGCCTATGGCATTTAAAGTAGTCCTAGAGTTGGGGAGAAATGGGAAGATGGGTTGGTTCAAGCTATATCATGTCACATTTCTTCCTACACAGCTTTTTCAAGAAGTTAGGCCTAAGGAGGACTATCAGGGAGTTCACTTTTCACCTAGGCTACCTGTCCCATACTTAAGCTTTCCTCTCCACTCTGTCAATTTGACATCTGAAGGAAAGTCATCTTACAAAATGGTCCAGAGCCGCCCCGCCCCCCCTCAGTGTCAGTCTGCTCAAATAAACAAATGTGAAAGAAAGAGGCTTGTGACCTCGCAAGGTCACGGTACAGAGTTGGTCCTCACTGCTGCTTTTATCTAGCCACCCACAATTGATTAAGTTCTGTCGGATTAATTGACCCGAACTATACAAGCTCTTTGAAATATAAACAAAGACCAATATTTTATGTTGGGGGAATTGAATAATAACACCTTACGTTCATATAATGCTCATTTTATTTAATCGAGCAATATTGAACTCCTCTATTTTGTGCCAGCACTAGAGATGCAACGGAGAGAGAAATCCACAGGATATCCCCCCCTCATGGAGTTTATAACCTGTTAAACGTCACAGTAAAGAAAGAAACACACCTAATAAATGCATGATTCCACACTTTGACAAGTACAGTTGACCTTTGACCAACACAGGTTGGAACTGCGAGGGTCCACTTTCACATGGATTTTTTTCGATAAATGCTGTAAATGTATGTTCTCTTCCTTATGATTTTCTTAATAACATTTTCTTTTCTCTAGCTTACTTCATTGTCAGAATACAGTATATAGTTCTTCTAATATACAAAATATGTGTTGATTGACTCTTTATGTTATCGGGAAGGCTTCCAGTTGACAGTAGGCTGTTAGCAGTTCAGTTTGGCGGAGTCAGAAGTTATACATGGATTTTTGATTGCCCAGAGGTCAATGCCCTAACTCCCACATTGCGCAAGGGTCAACTGTACAATGAAGAAGAACTGAGCACTACGAAGGAGAAAAACAATCTAAACTGGTGTGGTGGCAAAGAAGACTTTTCTAGAGACATACTTGAACTGAGACTTCTTAGATGACTAAGAGTTCATCGGGGGAAGAGCAGAAGAGTATGGGTAGGGAATTCTAGGTGGAGGGTCAGCTTGAGGGAAAGCTTGGGAAAGACTCTGGGGTACCCCCAGGAGTTAAGAGAAGGCCTGCATTCCTGGAACGGAATGAGCAAAAGGGAGAGTGATGAGCAATGAGTTTCCACTTACCAGTTCATACTCAGAAGTGCTCTCACCTCTTCTACCTCATTTTATTTTCCCCGATCCCCTGGGGATGTTCACTGGTGGTAGCTGTGTTTTACAGGAATACAAGCTGAGGCTCCCAGTGAGTTTTAAGTGCTTTTGTCAAGGCCTCTTATCCAGTCACTGGTAGAGCCATAATTAGGTCCTCAGACATCAGAAACCATACATATACTTCTATGTTGTTCCAGGAACCAGTAGCCCTGGTGATCCTGGGTTATTTACCCAGAGCACACCACTACTTCTACATCAAGGACCCTGAGGAAATGAATTAGTCATCAGAAGGTTCTTTGATGTGCACAGCATCTGAGCAAAGGTAATCAGATAGTCTCCCGGGATATTTCATCCATGCCACAGCAGCATCTCATGAACTTTCCTTGCC